AATTTTACTGGTTTAGGATTGGTAGCAGTTACAGCTTCAGCAATTTCCTGACCAATCTTAAAAGACTGCTCCTTAGTTGCTCCTTTCAGTAACACGAACATACTGAGGGGATTAAAAATAAAGTAGGGTAATGAGAAAGTTGTTATAACAAAGTATCTCATCAAGAGTAACTCTTTTGGCTCCCACTGTAATATCAAAGATCCTTTTTCTTCATTTACCCTTCCTTATTAAGTTGTTTCCTAGCTAAGATTCCCTGTTTTATCACACTTCCCTTGTGTACATGGTATATACCTTGCTATACATCTTTTTAGACATCTAATCTTTTTCTTTTTTTGTAGACAAGAGTCTCACGTTGTTGCCCTGGGTAGAGTACCATGTTGTCATACTCATAGCAACCTCAAACTCTTGGACTCAAGTGATCCTCTTATCTCAACCCTCCCAAGTACCTGGGACTACAGGTGCCTGCCACAGTGCCTGGCTATTTTTAGAGACAGGATCTTGTTCTAGCTCAGGCTGGCAGATACCCAATTTTGCTAGCTTAGCTACATACAGAACAGCTCGGATACTGTAGCTGCCAAGAAGGTCCCAGATCATCCCGGACATTTAAGGCTTTGTATGGTACACAGTTAAGTCCCAGCATAAAATTAGAGAATATAATGTGATTATAAAGAAATGGAAAATTTACTTGCAATGTAGGAAAAAGTGTCTTTCCAGAACCATTCAACTTAAAAAAAAGACGTATTTTGTAACGTTCACGGAAGGACAGTTAGAAAACACAAAAAGGTGCAAAGAAGAAAACAGCGTTCTCTAATCTTAACATTCAGAAAAAAAGACATTGCGTTTTATGTATATTCAATATCTATCCATCTTTTCTCATTTGCTATTTGGTACTTTCTCCTTGCATTTAACGGTATAATATGAACATTTTCCCATGTCATGTGAATTTGTTCTTTTATATTATTTTCACAATTCAATGTATGGCTATGTTGTAATTTAACCTAACCCCTGCCATTGAAAATTTAGGTTGTTTTATTATTTTTGCTACTTTGTCACATAGAATAATTGTTTGGTACATCTCTAATTGTATCCTTAGAACAAACTCCTAGTAGTGAAAGTTCTGGGCAAACAGTTTACACTAAAAATGTATTTTGGATGATAGCATTAAACTGATTCCAGAAAAATATTTCTAGTAGGTTGAGAGGGTAGGATGTCTAATATGGACAAAAAGTAGCAATACAAAAAATGTTAAAAAAAAACCTGATAAGAATATAGGCATTTTTCTAATATAATCCAGTTAGCTTTATAAATAGCACTTTACATTTCATTACATATTACAATCTGAGCACCAACAGAAATAATGGTTTATAAATACAATACTTAAGGAAGAGAGTAGAAAGTTCATCTCCACTTATAATTTTAGTGGAAAAAATATTAGTGGAAATGAATATCTTGAAACTTAAAGATTCTTGTTTCTAGCCACATAAAATAATTCATATTTCTGAAATGTTGAACTTTACGAAAAGTTTAAGAAGAAAAGGTATCGTAATTTGTTGTAATTTTAATTAAGGTCTTTAAAATGAAAATTGCCCCAATATGAATTAATTTTAATGTCAAAAGAAAAGAAAAATGTCACTAAAGTATAACAATAAAGGCCTTAGGTAAATTATTCATTCAAGCAAGGCTATGCTCTGAACCTTTGGAAGATTTTGTAATTTCTTTTAAGTCACCTGATATTCATTACAACAATACAGGCTTATTTTTTTAATAGATTATATAATTTCTTTTTGACAGTTTGTTTGTTTATTTATTTATTTATTTATTTGCTTGTACAAAAGGTCTTTATTGGTGGGGAGAGGGAGGCTGCAGAGCAGCACCAAGGAGGAGAGACAAGAAGAGAGAAGAGGAGAGAAAAGAGGGGAGAGAGAGAGAGAGAGTGGGGAAGAGAAGAGAGAGAGTAGAAAAGACCGAGAAGGAAGACGGGAGAGAGAGTGAAAGTTTATTTTTAAAATCAACTTCATGGAGGTAGAGTTAGCATATAATAAAACAAAAATATAAGCATACAGTTCCATGAATCTTGACAATGTTCAAATTATATCACTTCAAAATTTATATGTCAAAAGTTCTAACACTCAATACCTCAGAATGTTAATATTATTGGAGACAGGGCATTTAAAGAGGTGTTTAAGCTAAAATGAGCCTGTTAGGGTGGACCCTAATCCTTATCCTGGTGTCCTTATAATAAAAGGGAACCAGGACACACACAGAGACACCAGGGATATGCATGCCAAGAGGCTTGACCATGTGAACCAGGGGTCCTCAAACTTTTTAAACAGGGGGCCAGTTCACTGTCCCTCAGACTGTTGGAGGCCCAGACTGTGGGACCCAGGACGAGTCGGCTGCTAAGCGGGACAGGCAGCAGTGGCAAAAACACCCAGCGGGACGGAAAAACGTCTTAGGCGGGCTGCATATGGCCCACGGGCTGTAGTTTGAGGACACCTGATGTGAAAACACAGTGAGAAGTTAGCCATCCGCAGAGAAGCCTAAGGAGAAACCAAAGTGGCTGACATCTTGACTTGGGCTTCTACTTTCCAGACTGTGACAAGTTTGTGATACTTTATTATGACAGCTCCAGCAAACTCATACTCTTGTGTAACTACCATCAGGATCAAGAAGCAGAACATGTTCATTACCTCTAAAAGGTAACCTGTATTCCTTAAAAATAGTTCTTCATTTCTGGCACCAGGCTTAACACATGACTCCTTTCTGTTATTACAGAATCATTTTTTTTTTTTTTTAAGAAAACAAACTATGTACTCCGAAACTATGTGCTCTTTTATGTCTGGCTTCTCTTACTCAGCATATTCTGAGATTCATCTTATTGTTCAGTAGTATTCCACTGTATGGATATGCCTCAGTTGGCTTATCTAATCACCCACTAATGCACATTTGGATTGTTTGTAGTTTTTTACTATTAGGCATAAAGAGCCAATGAAGTTTTGTGTCCTCCTATTTGTATGGACATAGGTTTTCATTTCTTTTAGGTAAACATCAACAAGTAGAATTTCTGGGTCATATGCTAAGGGTATGCTGTACTTCATATGTAATTGCCAAACTGTTTTTATGAAAGATTATTATTCTTAAAATGTTCAGATGTAATGATGAATGCAAATATATCCACATTTTCATAAGGTTCTAGAACAGGAAAAACTAAGCTACAGTAATAGGAATCAGGTAAGTGGTTGCTTGGGGTGGGGATGGCGAGGGATTGACTACAAAGGAGAAATAAGATTATTTTTTAGGGTGATGAAAATGTTCTGTATCTTAACTGGTGTGATGGGTGATTACTTGGGTCTATACATTTCTATACAGAATTACATATTGTGCACTTTTTGTTAAAAAAATCACAACTCAAGGGGCCAGGCGCAGTAGCTCACGCCTATAATCCCAGCACTTGGGAGGCCAAGGCAGGTGGACTGCCTGAGCTCAGGAGTTCAAGACCAAGTCTGAGCCAGGTGAGACCTCATCTCTAAAAATAGCCAGGTGTTGGGCCAGGGGCCTATAGTCCCAGCTACTCGGGAGGTTGAAGTAAGAGAATTACTTAAATCCAAGAGTTTGAGATTGCTGTGAACTATGATGCCGTAGCACTCTACCAACGGTGACAAAGTGAGACTATGTCTCAAAAAAAAAAAAAAATCACAACTCAATAAAAATGATAACACATATATAGTTTATCAGGGTTGAAAAGGCCATGCTGCAATTTTCATTTGTATGAGAGAGCCTTGAATAAAATGAACATTTTAATCTAAAAAAAAAAGTCATATATACTTTAATCTTAAAAGTTATTATTATAGGGTGTATATGTCTGTATTTGAGATTTTACCCTGTAGTGTGAGTTTCTCTGAGTCCATCTATGTTGCTTTAGCCAGTTTAATTTGAAGATAAACTTCAAGAGAACTGGCCCGGATTAATGAAAGTTTTTGGTCACTTAACAGAATGGAGGTGAAGCGACTGGTCTACAAGGTGAAAGACTACCTTAAAATGAAGTGTCCAGGGAAGCACCTGGCTCAGTGAGTAGGGCTCTGGCCCCATACACTGAGAATGGCAGGTTCGAAACCGGTCCTGGCCAAACTGCAACAAAAAAATAGCCGAGCGTTCTGGTTGGTGCCTATAGTCCCAGCTACCTGGGAGGCTGAGGCAAGAGAATCGCCTAAGCCCAAGAGCTGGAGGTTGCTGTGAGCTGTGATGCCACAGCACTCTACTGAGGGCAATGGAGCGACAAAAGAGTGTCCATCACTGGTGCTTTTAATGTATTTAAATAACCTGCATTATTGGCTTGAGAAGTCCAAATATGCATTTAGAGCAAAGTTTTTCATACAAAGGGGGGTTGAGCAAGGATACTAGAATCACCTTGGAGGCTTTTCTCAATTATACTAAGGTGAGTTGTCCAAGAGACTCTGAGCTCACTACCACCTCTTGCTGCCCTGGAACTGGGTGCTTTATCCAATATCCTTTCCTACTTTGTCCTATAATTATCATTGTAATAAGTTTCAATCTTTTGTGGGAGTAATATACCATTGGGTTGGGATAAATATGATTGAGAACCACTATTACATAAACAAACCACTATAGTAAGTACAAAGGGACAATAATGAGTACCTGTTTTAGAAGAAAAAACCCTTCTAACAGAGCCACTTTGATGTTTTGGTAACTGACCTCCTTTAGCTATACCCCAAGGTTCATAAAATCACTAATCTTGAAATTAGAGGAAGGCAACGCTCATTTAACATCATCTGTCACATTTCCTTTGCTCTGACAATGAGGAAAGTGAGCCTCAGAGAGGCTAAGAACCTTATCAAAGGGCCAGGCAATCAGAGTACATCTAGAAAGAGAATCCACATCTCCTCGCTCTTAGTTGGGAACGCTTTCATTCCATCAAGCATGACCTATCATCTCTAGACCAATGTTTATCAACCTGCTCTCCCAAGGAAAAAATTAAATTAAATATTGTTGAGTAAAGTTGGGCTCTTTAGTGCCCAAAACTAAGATCCTTAAGATTTTTGCCCCCACCCAAACCTATCTATACACTGTTACAGTAATACTGTTACAGTTGAGAATACATGCCCTAGGGTGAATTGACCTCATACAGATTTCAATAAATATTTGTTGAATGGATCAGGTACTGAACAGTAATCAGAAGGTGTAATGACACTGCAAATAAATTTCCTTTGATTGGAATCATAAAGTACCCATGAAGTGTGATAAAGGAGTGGAAGTACCAGCTAGGAATCAAAACACTGAATACCAACTCATGGTTCCATGAAATAATTGGGTGATCTCACACAGATTCCTTATCCTAGGAGAATTTGTTTTTAAGCATCACCCGAAGCATATTCTAAAGGTGTCCTAAGGTTCTTCCCAACAGCATGAAAACCACTAGGCTAAATAATATTAAAGTCCTCTTCTGGCCTGACACTCTTGTGAGTCTGTTTGGATTACTAAAATTCTTGAAGGTCCTAAAAGGTATACCATATAACTACACTCAGAATCATGCTGATTTCTACAACTGACATATACACACATATAGACCCTAAATTAAGAGCAACAATTTAAATGTTTAACTTTCTCCTCTTCCATTAAGAATTTTGTAAGGAAATCTACCAACAAGGTGCAGAACTATATTTTAGTAACTTTTATTTTGCTAGAAGTAGTTTCATAGAAGAGTGAAATACTCAAAGTCAAACTAAGAAGGGGCTTTTGATGAAGAACAGTAGAAAATATGGATAATTTGGCCCTGGATGGACTAGCTACTATATGAGGCAAGGTCTCATTCAGAATTAACTTCATTATGCTGGCTATATGTACCTTTTAAAGAAATAGAGAAGATTAAATGCTGTTCAAAGATTACCTACAAGCTGTTTCAGAGATTGGTAGCATTATCTCCTATTGCTCTGTTGAATTGTGAAGTGACTGGAGGTCTTTGAGGCAAATGCCTGTAGCGTGATCACACTGTGGCTCTAAGACCTCAGTATGAAAAAAATGTTAGACTCTAAGAAATGTGTATAATTCTTATATTCTAAAAGAATTTCAATAAGCCATGCAAATAAGATGTTATATAAATAACTAGGACCTGAAAAATGCCACAGCAAACAAGGAAGCAAGCAAACAGACTGGTATTATCAATTCAGGATTCAAATACAGTCCCATTCTTTGTCAATCCACGAATAACAGGCTTGGGTAGGCTGTGAACTACTTGGAATCAAATGGAAAACTGTATTTGCCTATGTTCATTTCTCTTAAAGGAAGGTCAACATACTTGGGGGCCCAGTGAAAAGTAAACCACTCATAGCTTTGGCAAATGACCTTCAAAACAGTTTAATTATTTTAAGATAACATATATATTTCAGTGACTTGCAGCTATACTGGAGCAATTATTCACATTACAAGCAGTTTCTTTAAATAGATTGGATTTCTGAGAATACGGTTTGTTTACAGATCACTATCTCCTTGGTCAAGAGCTACCTGGAGGAATGTCATGGGAATCTTTTAGTTTGTGGCTCAGGATACTTATCCTTTGTGTCTCTTAAGACCTTATCTGGTAAATCAGAACCTGTGTTAACTCTGATCATGAGATCATAAGGACCAGAAAAGATTTAGGTAGAACTCTGTTTTTAGGAAGGATTACCCCTAAGCCATCTCAAACATTGAAATGAAGATCTGAAGAAATGTAAACTACAAAACCAAATATCCATTACCTGTCAGTATCACCATATACAACCTTTGCACCCCATTTCTTGGTATCATTCACCAGTTTAATAGCTCGTTCTAAGGTCTCTCTGGCTTTGTGAACAATACTATCACCAACCTGTTGGTACAAACACATTGACAATAATTTAACATAGCTCAGTATAAGTCAATATACTTTAACATATAATACTTAAAATTATTAAATATTTCTAGAAATGAAACAAGAAGAATGTAAAAAAGAAAACAAACTAGCCAATAGTGTCATCATTCTTTCTACAAGTACTCAAGAAGAAAATGAGATGAAGAATTTAAAAGAAAGACCCATCAATATCGAATTTGCTTTTAAGTCAGTATTTGTGCAATTGCATATGAACTTTATGGACACCTTGTACTTAAAAGCAGTCTGTAAGCAATTGCACATGAACTTTACGGACACCCTGTAATAGTAAATATTTAATTGCAAAAGAACTTTATGG